TAGGAACATCACTTGGAATCTAAGTGAAATTAATTGCAATGAGCTCTCTTTGCATTCTCCAAATTTATATGCCCCCCACCAAATCTGGCAGTGTTATTTTAACATTTTTTGGTTTAGCAAAGAAATAACAGATTTTAGCTTTTTGATAAGACAATCAAATGAGTGTGCACAAGGAATGCACCCACATCCAGGCCACCACCTGAAGGTGCTGTCATCACACACAAGAGGGCTGAAATGGCTCACTTTGAATAATGAGGCACTTTCCTTGGAAAAGAAAATGCCATCTTGTATACTAAGCAAATGTTAGGTGGCCCAGTTCACCCCACTGGAGAAGCTGGGAGCCAGAAGGTGTGGATACTGTAGGTAGAATATATCCCAGGGATCTGACATCCTTTTCTCTAGACCAAAGGCTCTAAGCCTGCATGCTACTGTCCTTTCCTTGCATCTGTTCCCAGGTAATGGAGAAAATTTTGCTACAGTCTAGGGGCATCGGGGCTTGGGGCTTATTATAGATCCCTCCATCCCCAGGAGCAGAGTAGACAAGGAAAGGGGAGGTATGCTCTATCAGGCACATAAACACAGGGAAAGAAGTTTCTGTGTATACAGAGGAGCGGGACCATGTCCATTAAGAGGTCCTCCAAACAAGATCAGCATCAGAAACCTCTGCTTCTGCCACTATGACTGTGTGGGAGGGGGTAAAAGTAGAGGGAGACTTGAGAAAATGATCTCGTTTGGTGTTTTTTAAAAACCTGTAAATTTTTCTAAGAATAAGGCTCCAATTGGGTGGCATAGGGTCTGTTGCCTATGGCATGAGGTGCCACAAGGCCAATAGAATCATCCTCATGACCATGGTCCAGACAGGTATATTTGTACTCTTTTAAGCCATTCTTGGACTCAGAGGGGCCATGGCTATTGAGGTGATGGTAAGTTAGGCCACCAGGGCCATAGAGTATTGGGTGAATTTGTGCCTGGGGAGGTAGAGTGAGGGGGATCTGGCAGGAGTGGGGGAGCCCCTGGGGCCATAAGGAAGTGTCTTCCTCGACTGGAAAGGGACATGTTGGCAGCATGTGCCATTAAGAGAGATGGTGCCTGTTCCCCAAAGCACCCCTGGCCAACTTGTTCAGAACATGGTGAACCTTTTGGAAACAGAGTGGAGAGGTGTGTTTGAGATAGGAGAAACTTTGGGGGGTGAGTGAGGCCAGTGGGGGCTCATCTGATAAATTAAACCCTCTTAGCTCCCCTCCTCATGGTCTAAAGAGACATGACATTCCGACTTGGGATGTCACAGGTTTGTGGCAATGAGCTCAGGGACATCACCTCAATATTATCTGAGGAGAACGAGGTTTCTTTTCATTCCGAGGCCCAGAGAAAAGGTACACTCCCTGAGCAAGGGAGAAACAGAACTTGCAGAAAGGATGCTAACAAAATCAGCCAGATTTTAGAGATAGTACATATTTCTGAGAATGAAGAGCCAAAGTTCTATGGGGGGTTGTGGGCAGATTTGATGGGGGGAGTGGCAGTAAGTAAAGAGAGGAGATTACCTTCCTATTTTATTCTACAGCTGCTTGTACAGTGTGCTCATCTCCCACCAGAACTAAATATAGAGAGTTAATTACTCTTCATCAAGCACTCTGCTGGGGGGCAGCTGGGGCAGCATAGCCCTTAAGAGGTTTGCCAGGCGCTCAGGCAAATGGCAGACTAAAAGCAGGTTCCCAGTGTGGGATGAGGCCACCACTGCTCACTGAGTGATTCTGCCACAGAGCAGCCTGAAGGGTCTGGGTTTTCAGAACCAATGTCTTCCGGGTAAGGAGACAGACCTCCCAGGGGTGGCTCTGAGCAGGGGAATGTGTGCATTCCGCCAGCCACCAGCAGCCCCAGAAAGCAACTGGAGGCGGGGAGAAGACCCAAGGGGACCTGCTGGTTGAGACTAGTGGCCAGAGGGTGTCCAGGGGATTGGAAAACTTAAGGACCTGCTATTGGCTGATGGTACTGAGAAGGCAAATGAAAACTCTCCTCTGTTCATTCTCTTCATGTGTCCCTGCCCCTCTCTCATGCTTTCTACTTCTTTCCAGACTTTTCTTCCTTCTTCTGTCCCTATGCCAAGACAGATTTCCCTGCTACTGCTCATAATGCATATTTTCATTTTCATCATTAGGAAAGTAACTGGCATAATGGAGAGGTGGGGAGTAACATTTCACAGGATAATTGTGCTCTCCTGCCTGAGTCTTGTGGAGCCCAGTCCAATAGAGAATGAAAGAAAGGATTTCTGAAATGCCCCGTGGTCTTCTCATTTGCTCCCAGTGGCTAAGACCCCAGAGGGCCCTCCCTGAGTTGGAAGTTGTCACCCCAACTTTTGGCGCTCCAGGTCCACAAATGTTGGTAATTTTCTCAGTTGCATGTAAACATAAACACACACACACACACACACACACACACACACAAACACACTCACGTGCGCACATGCTAAATGTGGAGTAGTAGAATACAGGTGGCAAATTAAAGCCTGTGACTGTATCAAAACGAAACAGAAGGAGAAAGGACAGGCAAACAAGCCAAAGTGGCAGAGGTCCCAAAGGGATGCACGGGGGGCAATGTCTAGGATTGCTCCAGTGATGGACGTCTATAGGGCTCTAGGCACACACGGCCCCAGAGTGGAGGCAGACAAGAGTTAGGACTATAGCAAGCCAGGATGGGATGGCCCCTCTCAAATGGCCTCACCTCTTCCGGCCTCAGCAGAGTAAGCAGCAAGATAAACCCTCGGCAGGGAAGCAGAATAAAAAGGAAAGCACCGCTGACCAGATTGGAATTCCCAATTAACTACTGAGTGGCCCATGGGCCTGTCCCTTGGATGGGCGGAGACAGTCCCGCATGGCTGGTCTTTGCCAAGGCCTGGGTGTGCTCTGTGCATCATGCTTCCTAGACGGATGGGCACGAGGGCCACAGGCTCTCTGCACCTCTCCTCCCTTCCTCCTTTCTGCCAGGAAGGACCTGAGGAGACAA